TGGCCTCCAACCTAATAGCAATGGCCTCCAACCTACAAGCAAAGGCCTCCAACCTAATAGCAATGGCCTCCAACCTAATAGCAATGGCCTCCAACCTAATAGCAAAGGCATCCAGCCTAGTAGCAATGGCCTCCAACTAGCAAGGGCCTCCAGCCTAATAGCAAGGGCCTCCACCGTCATAGCAATGGCCTCCAACGTAATAGCAATGGCCTCCAACCCAATAGCAATGGACTCCAACCTACAAGCAAAGGCCCCCAACCTAATAGCAATGGCCTCCAACCTAATAGCTCTCCAACATACCGGCAACTAGCGGGCAGCGACCCTGGACCCTCAATATTGGTGTCTAAAATGATACGCCAGCAGCCATTCTAGGAGTTTCAGCTTACCACGTTGGACCGGACCACCGGATTCAAGTAAAAGGGTCTTACATGGTTGAAGAACTCCTAGTTAGACCTTGAACCTTTGAACCTGAGAAATCTAAACATGCAAGCGTGCCCAAAGCAGATTTGTTTTCTGCTACTGCTGCTGCTGCTCTCTGTCATTGGTTCTCTTCCACGTCTACTCCGCCACAGCTATGCTAGTACAGCTATGGAACATGGTTGTGGTAGTGGTTCTACACCACCCTAAACCATGTGCTGTGTTTACCCCTTTCTGTCTGGGGCGGTGGTCTCCCTGGCTTGCCGATGAGCGCAGTGCGGAAATGCTCTACCTACCCGGGTCTGAGGTGGTGTCCCTCAAGCTTTAGCGTGTATAGACCACCGGCAACACTGTCAACGCACCATCCTAGACCCCACCTATCTCCCAGTGACACTTCCAAACTGCTGGTCGTGCAAGTAGGGCTATGGAGTGTAAGGTTGTGTTTCCAAAGTTCATCAGGAATACAGTTTGTTTATATTTGTTTTGTTGAAAAAAAGGTCTAACATGGAGTTCCTCGATGGTTAATGTTGATGTTATAGGCCAAAAGAGCTCAGGACTCCAAAATCCGATATTTAGGGTCTAACATGTTTAAGTTGAATGGGTCTAAAGTGATCCAAAGATGATGCAGACCTTTTGCTCTCAGCACCCCCAGGTGCACCAATGTTAGACCCTCAGTAGTTGAGGGTATCTCCAACCTAATAGCAATGGCCTCCAACCTAATAGCAATGGCCTCCAACCTAAGAGCAATGACCTCCAACCTAATAGCAATGGCCTCCAACCCAATCAATAGGAATGGCCTCCAAATTAATAGCAATGGCCTCCAACATGATAGCAATGACCTCCAACCTAACAGCACTGGCCTCCAACCTAATAGGAATGGCCTCCAACGTAATAGCACTGGCCTACAACCTAATAGCAATGGCCTCCAACCTAGTAGCAGTGGCCTCCAACCTAATAGCAATGGCTTCCAACCTAATGGCCTCCAACCTAACAGCACTGGCCTCCACCCTAATAACAATGGCCTCCAACCTAAAAGAAATCGCCTCCGAATCAATAGCAATGGCCTCAAACCTACGAGCAATGGCCTCCAACCTGATGGCAATGGCCTCAAACCTAATAGGAATCGTCTCCTCCAACGCCTCTCCGAATTAATAGCAATTGCTTTCAACCTAATAGCAATGGCCTCCAACCTAGTAGCAAGAACCTCCAGCCTAATAGCAATGGCCCCCAACCTAATAGCAATTGCCTCCAACCTAATAGCAATGGCCTCCAACCTAATAGCAATGGCCCCCAACCTAGTAGCAATGGCCCCCAACCGAAAAAGAATGGCCTCCGAATCAATAGCAATGGCTTCCAACCTAATAGCAGTGGCCTCCAACCTAATAGCAATGGCCTCCAA